CGTTATTTCCACATAATATGTCGTTATTACGACATAGCGATGTCGTTATTTCCACATAATATGTCGTTATTACGACATAGCGATGTCGTTATTACGACATACTATGTCGTAATTACGACATAATTATTTTTTTTGAATGACCCTTATCGGCTTCCGTAGATGGATTTAAATTTTTTGAGAAAAAAAATATTTGCTTCAGAACGGAATTGAAAACATTGGGGGTTTTCATTATTGAAAATCAGAAGAAAAAGAAGAATAGCAACTTTGATTTTTAAAAGTAATTCATAACCTCCATTTTATTGAAAAAAATACCCAGACAAAAAAATCAACCACCCAAAAAAATTAATAAAAGATGGGTGACCAGCCTTCAAATCAGATTAAAAATTTACTTGTAAAAACGTGTATTGACTGTTATCGGTCAGAAGATTGCATCCACCTGAAATATGTTTGTCGTTTTCCCGATAAACGTCTTTCAGATTTAAGTGTTTACATTTCGCCTGTTTTAGTGTTTATACAGGATCATACCTTACACCCCAGTTCTATTGTTATACTTCATAGTTTTTCTACTGCTTTATTTAACTCCACCTATAGTATTGGAACAGAAAATCAGTTCTCAAACTTAAGCACAAGTTCTCTGGTCAGTAGCCCTGGTGTACCAGTGGCTACCTCATCACCAAAACTAAATAAAAAAAAACAAGACATCCCATCTAAAACAACCTCGTCTAAATTTAAAAGACCAATTAGAGTGGTAAACATTAACTTTCAATCTATCTGTAATAAAAAACCAGAACTTGAAGAAATTATTAACTCTGCAAAACCTGATATAATTACAGGCACTGAAACTTGGTTAAATCCAAATATACCATCTCATGAACTATTTCCACCAAACCTTTACAAATGTGTACCGAAAAGATAGAACACAAAATGACAAAGGAAAAAGTCACGGCGGAGTATTAATTGCTATTACTAAAGAGTTTATCAGCTCCAAAATAGATGAATTGCAATCGGATTGCGAAAGCGTGTGGGCGGAAATAAACATTTCAGGCACCAAAAAGATCATTGTCGGATGTTATTACCGACCCCCATCAGACGATGGAACATCTCTTGAAAATTTAAATATTTCTTTAACAAAAATTAAAAACATCTCAAATTCTAACATATGGCTTGGGGGAGACTTTAACTTAGGCCATATTGATTGGTCAATTCCATCCATTGTTGCTGGAAAACCAGAACAAAAATTACACCAACAACTCCTAGACATAGCTTTTGACCATAATTTACAACAAATGGTAGACAAAGAAACACGCAAAGACAGAATTCTAGATCTGTTCTTCACAAATAATCCATCTAGTGTAAATAAAATGACAACTTTACCACCAATCGGTAAGGCAGACCATGATATAGTATACCTTGAGATTGACACATGGCTGAAAAGGGTACGGGAACTACCTAGAAAAATCATGAAATTCAATAAAGCCAACTGGGGAAACATTAAAAAAGATCTTATTGAAATATTAACAATACAAGAAAAATACAAACTCAGTAATGTAGATGAATTGTGGGAAAATTTTAAGATAGACCTCATAAAATCTATAGAAAAAAATGTACCACACAAAATGATCACATACAAACTTAGATTACCTTGGGTAACAGACAAACTACGTAAGCTTATAAACAAGAAAAACAAAGCTTATCGAAAAAGGAAGAAAGATCCAGAAAAATACAAAAAGTTGAAACAAACAGTACAAAAAGAACTACGTACAGAATATTGGAAATATATTGAAAAAATGATCTGTGATATACCAATAAACGAACCTGGTCAATATGAAACATCAAAATCAAAACCAAAATATTTGTTCAGCTACATCAAAAGCACACGATCTGATAACACTGGTGTTGCACCTCTGAAAAAAGATGGTAAACTCATTACAGACACTGAAGAAAAAGCGAACATTTTAAATCAACAGTTCCAATCAGTATTTACAAACGAAACAGATGATAACATCCCAGACAAAGGCAGAAGCCCCCACCCACAAATGCCAAAGATAACAATCAACGAATCAGGTATTACAAAATTACTGTCGAACCTTAATCCACATAAAGCTTGCGGCCCTGACAATATCAATGGCCGTGTCCTTAAAGAACTAAAGGAACAAATCTCACCAATCCTTACCTTAATATTTAAAAAGTCGCTTGAAACTGGAGAAACACCTAAGGACTGGAAACATGCTAATGTAGCCCCAGCCTTCAAAAAAGGGGAAAAATACAAACCCGTAAATTACAGGCTAATATCTTTAACCTATGTTGTAAGCTCATGGAGCATATCATTACAAGTAGTATCATGTCTCATCTAGAAAAATATCATATATTATACGATCTTCAGCATGGCTTCAGAAAATCAAGGTCGTGTGAAACACAGTTAATAGATTTTATTCAAGAACTAGCACAAACAAATAATAGCAACACACAAACTGACTTAATCATAATGGACTTCGCTAAAGCGTTCGACAAAGTCTCACATCGTCGCCTCCTATACAAGCTCAACTACTATGGTATTGAAAATAACACACTAAATTGGATTCAGGCATTTCTACATGACAGAACACAAACAGTCGTCATCAATGGCATTTCTTCCACCTCAGTACCCGTAACATCTGGAGTACCACAAGGAACAGTATTGGGCCCAATACTGTTCCTCATCTATATAAATGACCTACCTGAATATTTACAACACAGCAAGCTAAGACTCTTTGCAGATGACAGCATAATTTACAGGGAAATAAAAACACAGGATGATTGTCATAAACTGCAACTAGATCTAGACTCAGCAGCACGATGGGAGTCAGATTGGCTCATGGCATTTCACCCTGATAAATGTACCAACCTTACCATCTAACAAAAGAAAAATAACTACCGGCATAATTACATCCTCCACAATCACATTCTCGAATCAGTAACATCTGCAAAATAACTCGGCATCACTTTAAAATCCAATCTTAAGTGGAACAAGCACATAGACAGTATAGTATCAAATGGGAACAGATCACTTGGTTTTTTTAAAAAGAAATTTAAAAGTTACTAACACAGAAATAAAATCAAGAGCATACCAGGCACTAGTAAGACCCAAACTAGAATATAGTTGTAGTGTCTGGGACCCCCATATGAAAGATCAACAGATAAAATTAGAAAATGTGCAGAGACGAGCTGCTCGTTATGTACACAACTACGATTACACGAGCAGTGTCACAAACATGCTAAATCAGTTGAAATGGCCACCACTAGCTGAGAGACGCCTAAAAACCAGACTTATTTTATTTTACAAAGTAATACACTGTCTTGTAGCCATTCCATCGCATATTCTTGAACAAACAGACAGCAGAACAAGACAAAACCATACTCAGACATACAGACACATCCAAACTTCCAAGGACACATACAAATGGTCGTTCTTCCCGCGAACAATTATTCAGTGGAACTTACTACCACAAACTGTTATTGAAACCGCCACTGTTGACAGCTTTAGAGATCAGCTAACACCAGCTGTTCTCTCTAGCTTCAAATAAACAAATCCAAACCAAAACATGTACATAAATTGCATATTTTTTAATCACAATCTGTATATACAAACACTTAAATTGTTAGTAAATATTTTTATTAATTCATATAAAAAAAAAAAAATTTTTGTCAATCACGCATGCGCAACAACATGTATTCTTCAGTATTGAAGCCTTGTTGACCTAAAAGAAGAAGAAGAAGAGAGTTTCTATTTCTGAAACATGTGTAAATTGAATAGATCTATTGTTACGAATAACAATGGATTTTGACCACAGGGTGTGACGAGCGGGGTTTCTGGAAAACCCTGCTTCTACATCCCGCAAACAAAGTCCATTGTTATTCGTAACAATAGAAATTGATTATTTTTTAAATAGCATGAACATAAGAAATTACTAATAGTGTTCACTACAAATTGTTTCATGATAATTAAAAAAACACATTTTAGGAAATTCCAATAAGCATCTATATGGAATACAAAAATAATCCTTTAAATACTCTTTTGCTTGAAGGTATTTTTTTTTACCCCAGTCATATGTCTCTATTCTAAAGTATTGATCTTTTAAAAAAATTGGGATTCTAACTCCCGGACCCCCCCCCCCCCCCCCCCCCCCCCCAGGTTACCCAGTGGCTGATCCGGGGTTGGGGGTTCCGCGGGTTGGACCCGACTTTTATTTAAATGATCAATGCATTTGAATGGTTGGACCTCCCTTTTTCTCTTGAGTTGAGGACCCCCGGGATCAGCCCCTGATTGCCCCCAAAAAGGGAGTTCCTCTATATTAAATATTGTATGTTGAGCGTGTCTGGTAGTCGGGTTTTTAATGCAGACACACCTATCCCTCAGTATGTTCGAATATGAATGTTTGTTTGTTCTCGAGAAGGGGGGGGGGGGGCTTTTGTTTTTGATAAAATCGTAAGATATAAAATACAGTTATGATTACCTTTATTAAACTGATACAGGTAAGTACTTTGGATTATAATATTGCCTTTATCTTTAGTCTCTTCTACCAAATCCAACGCTTGCCACAAAATGTCGTCCGTCTTATACCCGTCCATATTGACAACTGTATACCAGGAGCATGATGTATTTTTTGTTTGTAATAAGAATACACGAAACAGTCAACCTTGACCTGTTGATCCATATTACTACATGGATTTAACGGGAATATGCAAAACAACTTTGACATTTGTAAAATATACTCACTTGTCAAAGTTTGAACGAAGATAACCAAAGAAAGGTTACTAGTGGGGTTTCATGTAATAAAAAAAAATAATCTTATAAATCATGGTTTGGTATTGTCAATAAATATGCTATCAATTTTTTTTTTCATTTAATAATCAATGTTAACAAATATAGGGTTTAGAATGGGGTGTAAGTTAGTTATACAGCTCGGGATACGGCGTGTCTGGATAAGAAACACCTCCGGCCTCCGGCCGACGGGGTTTCTTATCCAGACACACCTATCCCTCGGTGTATAACTATTACAGATATTACCGAAAATAGTTACAATAGTTACAATGGCTACAAAACTGACTTACTTTGATGGCAGGGGTAGAGCAGAAATAATAAGGATAATGTTGGCCGGAGTAGGATTAGAGGTATGTTACAGACAATCTTATATTATCGACATTTATAAAGTAAACACTCTTACGGTGTTTTTTTGTGTGTAGTACGCTTATATTTACATGTAGATGTACAGGTATATATATAATTATGTAAAGCAAACAAATTGAGCTATGAAATAGTGTCCCCAGCGCAAAATTTCATGTTTATCTATCATTATATTTTGCCCTCGTCTATGAAATAATGTCCAGAGAAGTATAATTTTCCATATGAATTTTTGTCTATATATAGACATTTTGTATCGTTAAGGTTCATGTGGACCCTTTGGCTAAAATGGCTGCATTTTCACCTCAAAATTTACTTTGAGTACAGACAAACCTGCGCATCTGGAAAAGTTTTAAGGCATAGCATGCCCTAGATAAATAAACTTCTGATGCATTTTATGTTTTAGAAAATTTAAAACTTAACTGGATTTAGCAGTGCACTTTTTTTCGTCCCTGCAGAAGATGATAAAATTAACAAACAGTTCAGTTTCACTTGATATGGTCCACCCAGGTACACAGTTTAAATCACCAATTATTGTCAGGTATCTATTGTCCATCTATTGTCCATGTCAAACAAAATAGTTCACTTCAATTATTACCTGTGGGGAAGTTCTCAAACCTCTTTCCCAACTTAGTTTATTTTGGCACCTTCTGTAGGAATGAAAAAAAGTGCACTTCAAAATCCGGTTAAGTTTTTAATTTTCTACAACATAAAATATATTTGAATTTTATTTATCTAGGGCATGCTATGCCTTAAAACTTTTCCAGATGCACAGGTTTGTCTGTACTCAGAGTAAATTTTGAGGTGAAAATGCAGCCATTTTAGACGAAGGGTCCACATGAACCTTAAAGGTAGGATACACAAACTTATATTTAGTCAAACCTTCAGATCGAGACATTATTTCGTGGATTGATTGTCATGAAATTTCGTCTCATTAATTCAAAGGGAGATTATATTAATTAATATTTTGGACAACGTTAACATTTAAGTGTTTAATCTTATTGTAAATAACAATTGAAATTAAACAAATCCGAGATAATTATATTTGATTGTTATATGAGGGGATGGACAGGAGAGTACGTTTCTCCTTTCTCCCGCCCCCTCTCTCCTTTCTCCCGCCCCCTCTCTCCTTTCTCCTGCCCCTCTTCTCCTTTCTCCCACCCCCTTTCTCTTGTCTACCGCCCTAAAACATGAAAAACTAATGTATAGGAAGCTCATTTTCATAAAAATCGATCAAATATCTTGGTTTTATGATGGCTCGTCCCTGTCTTATCCTTTTACTAGATAGAAGTGTTGTTTTTTCTGCTGCAAGAACCCCAATAACTTTTTCACTGACTGTTAAGCTGTCTGTTTGCATTACATATGTAAGTCTGATGCACGCCGTTTCCAGATGATTTATTTTGTAAGTATAAATCTAATTATAGAAACGCAGGATAATGTTAAAAATATGGTGAATTTTTGTGCCACTATTAATGCAATTTCGTTAAGAAACCAATTTGTTTTCAAATGGTTGCCGAAAAACGCTGCTTGCAAAATAGAAAAATAAAATTCATTTGGAAAAGAATACGGGATTTGATTTAGCAAAAATGCATAGTTCAAGCAGCCGTGGAAAATCAGGCAGAAAATGGTTTGTTGGAATGGAATTGACAAAGAAGAATAATTAAATTGTCTTTGAACTTGTCTTTTTTGCCGCACAACTTTCCCTGTGTTCCAAGTGTAACTGGCCAGTTTCTGAGTATTATTAAGACTGTACAGGAAATATGGTTCCGGAAATGTAAAAAATAAATTGCCAACACTGTAATCGTATAAGCGCAGTTTACACCGGACAGCGGTGTCTTCCTTCTATTCCTACATTTTATAAATTCATATTCCTTCTATTCCTACAAACAAAGAACAATAGATGTTGGTATAAGGTGTTTTGTTGTTTTAGCAATCTAAATTTGATTGAAATACAGGTAAGTTCAGGTAATCTGGAAAGGATTATTACAATGAAAAAAGAGAATGTAGAGAATATAGAATAGAGCAGTCCCCAAAAAATGCATTTTTGTAAAAAAAAAATGTTTTAAAAATAATAAACCCTAAATAGGAATTTTGTTTTTAAAGTTTAATAGATATCTGTATGGGGATATTATTTTGTACAGTGATCTTTATTTATTTTGACTATGTTCTTATTAAATGGCGTTGATGCTATAGAATGAATGCTACAAAAGTATAAAATTTATCAAAATGAAAAAGACCAAGCCTAGTAGTAAATTTGGAGCTCTTTTTTAACCAATCTATAAAACTCTTAGAAGGCATGCCATCGCCTATACTTCTATTCTTCATTCAAACCTAGAAGTAAGAGTTATATACTTTTAAACAGTCAAAACTTATGATAATAGCGAGAAAAAAATATATTCATTAAATGAAAGCAAATATCATGTGATTCAAGTTTTTCTTTTTACTTTTGTAAAAAAGGGTTGCAAACTTTCCAATATACTCTTAGGCATTAAAGCGAATTTTTCGAAAAATATGACCTTACAAAATTCTTACGACAGTGTGGAAAATATAGTATAATATTTGTCTTGATATTAAGACCATTTTTAGCCGTGTGTTATTTTGTGAGATTAAACTCAAAATTTAGACGACTTTTAACACATCTGTCACTGCACTATATGTTGACTAATGTCCTATAATTTTGATTTCGTTTTGCTCATGTATTTGTAACAATTCCTATTACAGTGCTTAAATATTTTTCCCGTCAGGGACAGTCTATACTAACGGGACTGGTCACTTATAACAATGTCTATACAATTTTGCAGACAGAACTGTGCCGTCGCTGATGTCACGTGACTTCAAAGCAAATAATTTCACATTTACGAAGTGTTCTTCATAACTATATGTTCAAGTTTAATGAAGTAACATTTTTATGAAATTTTATACATTTTGTCATTGCAAAATGCTGTTTTTGAAAAGATTTCACGGATAGTTTTTTAAATATAGATCTTTGAACTTTGAGGTATTTTGTTAGTAAGTCCCGTTGTATAGACTGTCCCTGAACCCATGTTTGTACAAGCATTCCTCCTATTCCTACATGAATTTCTTACATTTTACATACCGGATTATCAAATGTAGGAATAGCAGGAATAAACCGGGACAGCAACATATCTGAATGATGAAAAAGTTAACAAAGGCTCGACATTTTGGGAGTTCAAATAAAAATGTTTAACTTTGTCTTTTCAAATGTATTTTTGCAATTTTGCAAGGTTTGTCCACAACTACGCACACAACCCACACGTTTACATCATACAGAGTATATACTGTATTAAAAATATGTATTATTTTATCTATCATTTTTACAACTGACGGAATGATTTTTATTAGTAACCTTTTTTAGCTCACCGGGGCCCTTCGGGCCCCATGTGAGCTTATGCCATCACTTGGCGTCCGTCGTCGTCCGTCGTCGTCCGTCGTCGTCTGTCGTAAACTATTTCAAAAATCTTCTCCTCTGAAACTACTGGGCCAAATATCTTCAAACTTTAACTAAATGTTCCTTAGGGTATCTAGTTTATAAATTATATCCGAAGTTTTGATCCATCGACAAACATGGCCGCCATGGCTAAAAAAAGAACTTAGGGGTCAAATGCAGTTTTTGGCTTATATCTCAAAAACTAAAGCTTTTAGAGCAAATCTGACATGGGGGTAAAATTGTTCAGTTGGTCAAGATCTATCAGTTCTGAAATTTTCAGACGAATCGAACAACCCATTGTTGGGTTGCTGCCACTGAATTGGTAGTTTTAACAAAATTTTGCAGTTTTTTGTTATTATTTTGAATATTATTATAGATATATATAAACTGTAAGCAGCAATAATGTTCAGCAAAGTAAGATCTACAAAAAAGTTAATATGATCATAATTGTCAATTGACCTCTTAAGGAGTTATTGCCCTTTAAAGACAATTTTACACAATTTGTTCATCAAGTTTGCTAGCATTTAAAAATCTTCTCCTCTGAACTACAGGTGAGCGATTCAGGCTCTTGAGAGCCTCTTGTTTAATGGCTGCATTAAAAATGTGTCTTTTAGACACAACTATTTCAAATTGTATTGTATCGTTCTGAACATGCTTGAAATATTTGCCATGGCGGACATTTTGCAACCTCAAATCAATCAATTTAAATTGAACTTGAAAATCACTGTTTACTTAATCAAATTTTTGAAGCACTTTATCTATGCATGGAAGTACAGGTGTCATTACCTTTGTCTAGTTTGGTAGGGTTAAGTTAAAGATATGTTTTTTTCTAAGCTGAATGTGCACCCAGTTAGTTTGAAATAAAATTAAAACATTAGAATTATTAGGAAATTTACGAAACCAAACGGGGGAAATGAAAACAAAATAACAAACACCATTCAGATCCTGCATGCTACATATTTTTTCAATACCTCTGGGGCCTCGGTGGCCGAGTGGTCTAAGTAGTTACTACTGTAATCACTAGCCAGTCAACACTGAGGTTGTGAGTTCGAACCCCGCTCGTGCGGGTGCACTCGACTCCAATCTTAATTGACTAGGATTGTCAGTTTTCCTATCGAAGGTCGGTGGTTTTCTCCGGGCACTCCGGCTTCCTCCACCAATAAAAACTGGCCGCCACGAAATAGCCCAAAAGCGGTGCTTAAAAGTGGCGTTAAAACACCAAAAAAAATCAAAAAAAAATCAATACCTCTGAATAAAAATTACGTTACTCTGTATTCAGTCACGTCATCCTTTTTCTGCAAAATTATATATATATATGCATATCGGTCAACTTTAAAGCAATTTATCTAAAAAACAAGGATGATGACATGTGTCTCTATGCATACACGGACTCCCTATAAAATCCTGCAAATTGTTAGTGTTTTGTCTTTCTTAGTATATATATAGAGATCGTAATGAATTAGTGACGATGTTCGGAGTATTTATGAGGTCGTTTTCATTACTATGACATTTTCATAGGCGGATCCAGGGGGGGGGGGGGGG